AGAGAGATAATAGAGAAAATGTTTACCATAGATATAATTTTCATTATAACTGGACGATGAATGTTCATCTACCCACGGTGGGCACATATTAATATGTTCACCGCTTATGTGGCATGCATTCATTGGTGATGTATTTTTTTGAACATATTAACATCACCAATGTGTGCATGCCACATAAGCGGTGGACATATTAACATGTGCCTACCGTGGGTAGGTGAGCATTCCTCATAACTGGACTCCTATTTATAGGAAACTTCTGATGACACAAACGTAGTAATACAAAAAAATATTAGGGGCAAAATAATCATTCACATATATTATTTTATAACAAATAATTTATAACATTTCCCTTGAATGACTATTTCTAAACATATTTTATCTGATTTGAACAAATCCCAGTCTGAATATCTTAAAGTGTGTCTTGTAGCCATCGGTACTGGTGCTTCAGTATATCAGAAAAAGCCGGTGGGACAAAACCTGATCATCTTGAAATCATAACATTGTTTCCTCAGAAAAACTTGGTGGGACAAAACCTGAGCATTGTGGTAGCACATCATTGCTCCCCCTCAAATAGATCATCTTGGAGTATCCACGTTCTGGCTCGTTAAAACCTTGTCAAGAAAACCCAGTGGGAAAAAACTTGATCGAAGGAAAAAGAATACAACTACTTCAGTATCATCATGAGGAATCATTTCAATAATCCAGTAGTCCTCATCATACCACGAATATGCATCGTTAAAACCTTATTAGGAAAAACCTAGGGGGACAAAATCCTAATGAAGGAAAAAGAGTACACTATTCATGTGAATACGACATCCCTGTTGCCTCATTAAAACCTTGCTAGGAAAACCCAATGGGACAAAACCTCAGCCAAGGGAAAAAAAATACAATGCGTATTCTATATATTCACCATAATAACTTATCCATAATTTTCATGAATATAATATAGATTCATTCAGATTTTCCGATACTGGTGGTATTTATGATAAGGAAAATGCTACAAGTACATAATAAATGTAAATAGAGGTGTACATAACACTCACATGGAGTGGGGTCCACTTGATTTTTTATTTTTGGTGGGTCCCACTCAATGTGAGTGTTATGTACACCCCTATGTACAATATTATGTACTTATATCATTACTCGAATGATAATATGCCATATCATGCAACTATCATTTTTAAACTCATTCTCATCATCAACCGATTTCAAATGGTCTTACTGCCAATAGTTCTTAATATTCTCATTTTAGCTGATTTCATTCTCATCAGTATCATTTATATAGCGCTATTCATTTGTTTGTGGCGACACATATTTATTTCCATTATTCCCCGTAATATATTGAGATATTACATTATCAGTTGATTTCATCGATAGTATTTATATGCCTCCTTTCATTACTTATTTGGGGAATTTCAATTTGCACTATACTAACGCTTCCAGCGTTTTATTCCACCATCATATCATTTCATATATTTCACCACCATCAGTATCATTCATTTTATGATTTGCACACTTTCAGTGTGTGCATATATCATTTCCAAATTTTAATAATTGATTCTCCCCCTCATCTTAACTGATCCTTGATCCGTATTTTTAGTATAGAATTTCTTGAGGGGAGTTCATATAGTCTCCATTTTGTTCTCGATTTCAACGTATAATTGGAGGACTTTGAACTCATATCACTTGCATTGTGCACATTTTTCTTTCAAGATTTCATCATATCAGCTGAGTGTATTACTAGCAATGTTCTGAAAACTGGACCGGTCAAGCTACTGGTTCAATGGTTCACTGGTCCGACCAGTGGTTGAACCGGTTGGACCGTTATTTAATTTATTTATATTTTAAAATATATAAAATATTTCATAAATATAGTTAACTAATTTTTAAGTTATTAATTTATTGGTATTTTAAAATATATAATACTTTATATATACTAGATACAATTTACTTAAATTTTTATATTGGTATATAGATTAAACAATAAATAATATATAAAAATATGAAATAGAAAAAATTCCTCATACTTTCTCATTAAGTAATAAAATAATATTATAATAGTAATAGGACAAAAATAATGGATACGAAATTTACTGTTGGACGCGCGTGGCTTAACATTTGATCAGCAAATTGGATTTCCCACTACATGTCCCACATCGGGTTTCATAGTGAAGAATTGGCTGTATAAATTTGTCCGGATCCCTTTCGCTTAAGTAAATTAATAACAGACCAGTTGGACCAAGCGGTTCATAACCAGTTTTGACCGGTTGAACCGCTCGCTGACCGAAATTTGACCGGTTTTGCTGGCAGCCGGTTCGTTGGAAAGAACCGAACCGGTGAATTGGCCGGTTCCCGGTCCAACCGGTCGGACCGGCCGGTCCGGTCCGGTTTTCAGAACACTGATCACTAGCTTCATCACTTTCATATGACACTTACTTTCATTCTTTCATAATCATCTTGTGTCATTCTTTGATCAAACCATCTCGTAACTTCAGGTTACATGTCATATACACATTTTTTGATCAAATCATATTGTAACTTCAGGTTACGTGTCATATACACATTATTTGATCAAATCATATCGTAACTTCAGGTTACGAATCACACACATGTGGCTATCTAGTGGATCCATAGTATCTAGTAGCACACATGGAGGGGTAGTGGGCCCGTATATATCGTACCCCTTTCATAGTCAGTTTGATCAAATACTGATTCACAAATATTTAGCTAGTAATAATTTCACCAATCGAGAACAAAGTATCTCATATCACAAAGAATCAGTTAATCATTAAACATATCACAAAGTATCTTATATCAGTAAACATGACAATAATTCATTGTGACCCATTTATCACAAACATATCACATCATCTTTCGGCGACAATAAATGCACTTCAAGTACAAATTCTGACCCACAATATTTAAATTCATAACCGTATCACAAGCGTATCATTCCTTTGGTCCCACAGATTCTTTGTTTTTAGAGTCGTATAGCATACGCATCATTTCTATAAATTATCAGGTAATCCATTCAATCTTTCTGAATAAAGGTCCGCATTTACAAATAGATTTGGCACTCTCAAATATCCGTAAATATTATTCTTTTCTCCCGTTAAATATCATAAAAAGGATTTATCGATCTCGATTAGAAAGATTGAGAATGTTAATGATTAATGATATTCCAAGTGATATTCGATGGTTGATTGAAGCAAAAGTTCGATTATCGAGAGAGTTTCCAAATTCATACAAATATATGCCAAGTATGGGTAAGAGTACTTTTGCAAAGAAACGAAGAGCAAAAAAGATTAGGTGGATGCTTCAAATGCGCTCGATGAACTTGTGACACACGATGTAAATAGTGGGGTTCATGCCCAAAAATTGAGAAGATAAAATAGCATTTATAAAGGATGGATTGAGTAAAGAGTCTATGGATCAATCGATTCAACAGATTCTTGAGACACATCCTAGTGGGTATGTGCATCGTGAGCTCCTGTCCTTATGGATTCGTTTCAAAAATGAAGAAGAACGTTATAGTCTCAAAAATATTGTTTCAAAAGATCAAGTTTGTAAAACTAGTCTTGTTAGTACGAAAAATCTTACTAATAAAGTTTAGTAGTATGTTGCACTGTAATTTCTAGAAATCTTATAGCTGCTGACAGATAAAATTTATTTAAAAATCCAACACCTTATTTGTCGGTTGCAATTTTCATAAGAAAACAGTAAAATTTTTTATCGTTTTGTAAACTTTCCTTTTAAATAGCGAGTCGGTCGTCATAATCTTATGCCTCACAAAATTTTGAAAAATTAAGTTTATCAATAAATAGACGGATGTTTCAGAGTCTTCGCAAGGTAATAAATTTCTTCAACCGATCAAAACCATGTGTGTTCTTGGTGGTTCTAGACTGATAAGTTTTTCTCAAAATGTTGATATTGTAAGTCAGTTAGTAAGGGATATGGGAAATCAAAAAATCAATTTACTATATGGATGGACTAACATCACTTTCTTTGATAATCTTTTAATGGCTGGAAAATGTTTTGAGATAGAAGTGAAAAGTATCATACCTTTCCATAGAGCTTCAACAAGGGTCGTCAAGGATTCCATAAGCATGATGCTAACTCATTCTATTTATGATTGTATGATGGATATGGTCAACAAGAGAGATGCATTTATCATTCTTCCAGGCGGTTATAGAACGCTAATGACAATGTTCACCATTGCTTCTTGAGCAGAATTGAAACTTCATAAACAAGCCCATAGGTCTATTGAATTTTATTCACTTTTTTCATGGTTTGCTTGGAGTTTCAGACCAATGAGTATATCAAACCTTTATATCTCCTCCAACGAGAGAAGTTTTCAAATATGCAGATACGTCTGCTGAGCTTATCAAAAAGCTTCAAGAATGCATCACATTTCAAGATTATGTGGAAACACAAAGGGTCAAGCGAAAAAGAGCTTTTGATCCTTTAGATCTCTCATTATGAACCCAAATAACAATAATGGGTGGCATAGTTACAAAGTTTTATACTCTCGAGACGCACCCTTCTTTTATGGGTTCTATTATGTAATCTTTTCGCATATTTATTGAGGATTCAATACCTCATAACCATATTTTCATCATCAAGTCCTTCTGTACTTGTTCCTCAGTAATAATAATATCAATTTATCTTTTCCACAATATAAGCGTTTAGTACTTCATGACTACAATCATTTACCATATGTTCTTCTTCTGGAGCACTTAATTGTAATATTTATATGATCTTGAATCTCAATATGATCAAATATAGTCCCTTAGACTCATATAATATACTCAGAAATCATTTTGTGTGATCACCCATAACTGGTAACTTTTAGTACCACTTTCTCATTTTGTTCAATCATTTAATTGTACTTTCAGGTACTATTTCATTACTTTGCTTAATCATAATGTGGTAACTTTCAGTACCACGATACCATTTAATCATTATATAGTAACTTCTTGTACTACACCAATTTTTGTTTCTGCATTAATAAATTTGGAGAATTTATCAACTGCTTTTTCAGGATTAGTATAGTCCCCATAATGTACGTTCACGATAAGGACTTTTAGTCAACTTTCACATGTCCAGATACAAAGTATCATTCGTTTCACTTATCGGCTATCGCTTAATTAATACTGCCCGTCGCCGGCGGCAGAGCCTTACTTGCCGGCCCATGTATATATAGCCATTCATATTTTATTGCACGTGGCCTTATCATCTTGCCATTCCATATCGCCGGCTATTAATACAATGATCGGTCTATATTTAGTTGTTCAAGCATTTAATCGTATTTTCTGTTGTCGGTGGATGCACTCAAACATTTCACATAAATGTTCATAATATTTTGGTCAACAATTGAACACGTTGGCTACCATTAAAATATTACTTGTCGGCGGTAGAGCCGCATTGCTGATCCATATAGCCACACATATTTCTTTTCTTGTCACAAAGGTCAATCCATAAATATTCGTATGTTCATGCATCAAATATTACAATAGCCAATCTGTCCATATGCTCGTATATCACATAATTTTACAATAACAAATTCAGGTATTCATAACCATGATATATATAAACCATATCAATATTGGTATTAAAATGAATATCTCTCTTTCTTTATCTTTTTATTTTCCTCTTTTTTTCTTTTTTCATTCTCGCATATAGCACACATAATTAGTTAACCTTTCTCCTTCAAGTTTGTTTTCCTTCTAATGCAATAAATATATATGACCTACCTACCATGTATTAATTTTCTCCTGCCAACAATTTGAGGAGGATTCCCAGATTAATATCAATACTCATGGAAACATGAGTAGGAAAATAAATTAGATACCTACTAAGTTGACAATGTTGATGAACATTATGATTAGAAAATGCTAAATTAATATTAATAGAGTGAGGGTGTATAAATCTACTTAAACTTGATCACCTTACCCTACACCAACTTGAGTTTTACGAAAATATATTGATGGGGCACAAAACGACATGCACCAAAACCAGTCTTAATTTTCCAACATGCTAGCTGACACTCAACAATAATTTCAGGCACCAATAATTAGATAGCATGATAATTATTAATGTCAAATGTGAAAATGAGAGAGAGAGAGAGACAGAGAGAAGTTGTACTTGTAATGTGTTGGAGAAATGCTTGGAAGAAAACTTTGGTTTAGTAGCGTCCACATATTTGGTCCAAGAGCTCGTTTTCCATATTTTCCTTCTCTGTTTTCACGCAGCCCATCTCTCTTTTGATTCCTTATTTTCTTGAATTTGGTGAAATTAAAGAACTGGTGAAAAAGGGCTTGTTTGGCTGGTCAAAATGATGATACATGTATTTGGCAGGAGAGGTGAAAGTGATGAATCAAAGGGAAAAATGTGATGGTGCTCAATTGAGGAAAATGTTGCCATTTTTCCTTATTTGGCTTAAGATTTTTTTTTTGTTTTTTTTGTTGATAAAACTGGGAGAAAATCTGGGGAGAAAGTGATGCAAACAGATATTCTTGATATTGATTAATGTGCTCAATAGTCAATATCAGAAGGGAAGCTAATGAGGAAATGGAGGATTATTTCAAAAAAATGATTTGTAACACTTAGATTTATGATACGAAGGACCATCTATAAGATGCAACCGTATAACATATTCTCGTTATATTAAAAATCGAGCTCTAAAGGGTAGAGACTCGTGCTGATAACGTGTTATAAAACTAGAGAGAAAGAGAGATAATAGAGAAAATGTTTCTCTTAGGTACAATTTTCATTATAACTAAAACTCCTAATTATAGGAAACTTCTGATGGTACAACCATAGTAATACAATTACATTGGGGGCAAAATAGTCATTCAGATATATTATTTTATAACAAATAATTTATACCATTTTTGTATTTTTCTTCTTTTTTTCTCAACAAAATCCCCCTATATATAATTCCCGAATGTGCAGAGTCTAAATGGTAGGCTCGCATGCTTCGGAATTCTAGGTGTCAAAATTTCATGCTTCATTATCTGATTTGGATAGATTTTAATTTAATTCCAATCCAAAATAGGTCTGGATTACCATAAATATATTAATTATTTATAATCATTTTAAATATATTAATTATATTT